GGAGTGCAACAACTTCTACACCATACTTCGCAGCTTTAGAACGAATACCATCAATTCCTGGAGCAGCGCTTCCTCCAATCTTTGAAACTGCTTTCCTCAGTTCATCGGCGCTGATAGGATGAGTGATAAATCGATGGCTGTGGAATGGAGGGATGGTCCTCCGGGTCGCGTAGAGTTTAGCGAAGAAAATATTAGCGAGTGATTGAGCGTCTGTGGAAGTGCTGGCTTCATGTTGACGAATAAACTCGAGACGGCTGCGTTTAATACGATTGCATTCGATGGCTCGTTTTAAGAGGAACAGTGGTGCCGGTAAAGATCGTTCTTCATTGACCATCGCGTAATCTTGCAGACAGTTAAGTAATCAACGCGAACGCTTATAGCTTCCGTCCACTTTAACACATACTTTAGCGCACACTTAGAAGAAGAAGATATCGAGTTCGGTTAGAGATTCGTTCCAGCGGCTCCCGAGAAACGCAAAATCAGCAGCATCCTAGATAGATTTACACAGTTGTTGCCAAGAGTACACCTGGTCAGTCGTAGCGAGTGTCGAGGATGACATTTTGGTAATCCATTTATCACTAACATAAGCAATGCTGCTTTCATTTATATCTCGTTATAGTCTAAAGGCAGTTGACGAGAACGGAAATAGATGTCTCTAGATCAGGCGCTTTTTGACTTCAATCGCTGCCATACCGGGCCAGCCACGGCTTCTTCCACCGGATTCTTCTCTCCTATCCTTTTTTTCTGGTATATGTCAGAGCAGGAGAACAGCTGACCGTTCAAGGGGGGCTGGGAGAGGGAAGTGTGCTATACCGTGAATCTAAGTTAAACCTCGCTCTACAGAATGATACCTCAAGCTCGGCGAAAGACGTAAAAGCAAGAGAGTTATTAACGATCACGCATTGTTTACATTTTTTGGAACACCCTGTATTTGAAGGGAGTATAATCGATATAGATGTGTTGGTATACCAAACTTCGGTTGCATGTGTGATTGAAGAGATGGCAAGAGCAACCACGCACTAAATCTGCAAGATATTTCAATTCGCTAAATTCTCAGTATTGGTAGTAATCTGGTCGAAAGTCGAATATAAACCTCAGCTTTGACTCAGGGATAACCCTGAGTGTCGTTTTTAGAACTCAGAGTCATGCTTAATAAATCTCTGAGTTAAGTGGGTTTCGTTTTTGAAACTCAAAGTTATGCTTATTAAAACTCTGGGCTCGCTCTTAAAATTCCATGCTCCAACTCTCAAACTCGGAGTTTTGCTGTCTGAGGAACTGTTACGCACTTTGTTGCAAAGACGACGTCAAAGTTGGTACTCGAATCTTTCGGTTCGTAATGATGCCGTCACTGAACCGCTAGCCCATGGCACATCCTTTAAACCCAAAATTGTTTCGCCCTCATTGCATTAACACAAAGCAAGCCAAAGCATGTTGTATCAAAGCCTCATTCATTTTCGTTTCTGTTGGATGTGGTTTTTTTTATCGCACGGACCGGTCTTTTGCGCAGTTGAAAGCTTTGAACATTAGAAAGAGCGGATGGTATACGCAATGCAAGAATGGACCATTAGGGTTTACGCGAGATTAAACCCTCCGCGCAAACTGCCCTTATTCTATGATCTGGCCCACTTACGGTACGTACCGAAGTCGCGCAAAATGTACGGAGCATAGAAGACTGTCCGTGATCAGCGCCCCCGAATAACCCCAACGGTCGAAGTTTCGATCAGTTTTGTGGGTTCGTCAATTCTAACGAGCTACCGTAACTCCGCTATGTGAATCCGCAGCCAAAAATGCATACCATATTTGTGACCAGTGCCCCGAGTACTACCAAGTTTCGATCAACTTTGTGATTTTCTTCCATTTACCGTAAACTCACCGTAACCCTGTCACCGCAGTATAGATTACATACCAAATCCATGATCAGCCCAAATAACCCCACCGGCTTTAGTTTTGGCCAATTTTGTGATTTTCTCCTGTCTACCGTAAACTTACCGTAGCCTGGCTATACGACCCCATGGTGAAAAATGGTTACTATATTTGTGATCAGCGCACCGAATAGCCTTTGGGACAAGATTTTATTGGGTTCAAAAGTTCTACCCGTTTTCGAACTTTGACTTTGATTCACCGTAACTCTTCTCAGAAATAATCTTTGCAAATGGTATAAACTGTTTTACAATCTGCAAATCTTTGGCTATTCTGCGCACCCTTTAAGATTATTGCAGTAACAGTGGAGAAGATTTTATAGGCGAAAATCGAGGAACATCTCCTTTTAGAAACCTTCACTTACAAAAGCATAACTTAATTTGGAATATAGCTAAGTTGCACATGCACTGCTCACAGGGTAGCCCATAGTCGCTGAGCAGTGGGGCTAACTTTGGATTTTATCAAACTCTTTCGTAAAAATTTTGTGCTGAAAAATCCGAAAGGACCCACTCATTCTGCTCTTTCTGAGGTGGCAAAAAATGCAATCTTTTGAAATTTTTGATTTTGCTCGCCGTTGACAAACCAGGAAATCTTCTCGTTCTTCTAGTAGCAGTTGTTCCAGCTTTAAACTTACTATATAGAGTAAAAGTTCCGAGATTGCAATATGTTTATGATTTTTATGCAACTTGAAGAGATCTAAAAGCAGGTTATGTGTGAGCTAAAAATTTGTAGGTGTTTAAAACTTTTCTGGAATCATTCCTCGATGAGCGTTTCGTAGCACAAGTCTCCAGCAAGCATTATGTATGTTGCAAAAGAAGTTTTTTGGCTGTAGAATTCACGGCGATAGAGCAAAGACGAAAATTTTCACATTTGTTTTGCTGTCTTTTCAAAGTACGCAATCATACAGCGAACAAAGGTCTATGAAAACGAAATATGCCTGAAAAACTAGAAGAAAAGAGCTTTTGAATGATATAAGCGTGTTTGCGAAAGATGGTTTCTTCTTCCAAAAACAGTTTAAAAAAGGTATCGAAATCGGATAGAACTTTTGAAACAACCCAATACAAAATATTAGGCTGTAAACTAAGTTTTGCAACTGGTTTCACAACTTCACTCTCTCCCAACATGAGCATCCAAATTCTGCCATAGTGTAGGTTATTACGTAAGCTTAAATGCAGCTGCTATTCTGCCAAATTCTGACGTCACAGTGACGGTTACGGTAGGTATATGGTATGGAGGGGAAAAATACTAGTTTGACGGGTTTGGCTGAAACTTGGCATAGGGGTGTTATTCAACATGCTGATCACGAAATGATAGTGAAATTGCGTGATACGAGCTTTTTTGTAGGGTTACTGTAGGTTTACAATACAGGGTCTTACCCTAAACAAGGAAAGAGGCATCGATATAATAAATAAATATATAATAATAATAATTATAATTATAATAAATATTATAATATATTCGCGTTCGGCAGGTCAAAAAACCCTACTAAAAGTCTCGGCAGAATTTGAGCTTCGGACTCTTTAGTCATTGACGGTCGTCCCTAACAGCTCTTGCGTGCATCGACTCGTTCGACTTTGTGAGGACGCCAAATCTCGACATGCCCCTGAATTTTGTTTCTTTCTTACTTGTCCAGAGGAGTCAACCTCCAGCAAGCATTTGTAGGCGAGTCCGGGTTACTGCGCATGGTCTAGGCTGCTAAAGGCTTCATTTTAGCTTGAAACCCCAAAAACTCTCAAATTTCACTAGTTTTTGAAAAATGCCTGAAACTTTTCTATTTTGTGTTTAAAATTTAGACAATTTGTGCGCACTTGTAGCACACATTACTCTCTACATAATGCCAAAGTTTGAGTGCGCCATATCTAAAGAAAGTGAAGTTATGAAACCAGTTGCAAAACTTAGTTTACAGCCTAATATGTAAATTTTGTCTACTGCGCACCACGATACTATCATGCGTGCTAAAACTACGAGCAAGATGTATTAGGCCTCGGTCATACCTCACGCGATTTGGCAGTACTCCAAATGTTCATAACTCATCGTACGGGGTTTCTAAATATACGGGAGATGGGGCATCTTATCAACCTACGAAAGTTATACATGCTGTGCATTTGGGGTCTACCAGCATTGAATTTGAAGTCATCTGGCAAATTGCCAGATCGCGTGGCGACTGAAATCGATTGAGGTATGTCCCTTGCCTTACGGAGGACTTCTTAGCTGCACCTCTTCTTTTGTGCACTATTTCTCTTTCTCGGAACAAACTCAGAGTTATCGCAGAGCTCATCTGTGCGTTTTGGTGGCGCTGTTTCATGTGCGGAATGATTTGGACAATGCTGCGCTACTAGGAATAAACTACCGGTTACGGAGTATACTGTCATATCATCGCTTTCCAGATTTGGTCTATTCAAGCATCTGTTAAAGGGCTCAAAAAGGTGCTTGTTACCATAGAGATAATTCTAAGTTTCTACACGTTTACTACCGACCGAGATAAATTTTAGAGCTTACGGGAAAATGATTAACTTTCTCGGGATTTCTCGGGCTTGACTGTCGAGGACCTAATTAGCACTATTAGCAGGGTCAAGCAAGGGGTGGGCACACGATCGCTGGTTACGACCCCCCCCCCCCCTGATTGCTGTCTTAACCCTTTCGGACCTGACTTCTTGAGAAAAAAATTCCTTTTCTCAATGATTCTTACTCATGGACACATAAATAACACTTCAGGTAAGTTTGGAAAGTTTTCGACCATACAGCAAGAAAATACAAAATGGTGGCATTTGCCACCAACAGGCCTTAGTGGAACGAATTTTATCACACCTCACTTACTTACAATGGAAAGTTTTGAAGCAATTTCTATGTTTTGTTAGGCAAAGATGAACGTTGCATTTCTCACATCGAATTCGTGAACGTCCTCTACATGATTCTAGTTTACATCGTTGTTCGTTTATATCCTCATGTAACGGCCAGTGTCCGACGCTGTCATATCTAACTTCACTCAGAGGTATCAATCTGGGATTCAGGCGTTTTGGTGGAACGGCAGTAGGTGCATGGTATTTGAAGAATTGGACACCCGTCTTCCTTGTTTTGGTTCATTCGCGACACCAGAGATTTTTCCTTTTCTCATCTTCGTGTTCTTTTTCGTCGCTTTCTTCAATCTCTCCGAACTTCTCGTCAACATCATCTTCGCCAATGATGCGGCCGCAGCTTCTCTCGTGATTTGTTGAGGTATGCCAGTAGATTCCTGTCGAAGCTCTTGGCGGTCCATCTTCTGAATAAAAAACCTTCCATTAAAGTTCCACTAAAGCCCACTGGTGGCAATTGCGTACGGCCATTCTGAAGGTTATGGCAAATAGCCAAAACATGTGGACTCTCAAACAACTACCACACATTTCTCTAACAACCTCATACTAAACAGTTACAATAGTAGCATGAATAAAAACTCAATGTTCTTCAAAAAAAATTTACACTAAATTGTCTGATTGCGGGGCCGAGCGCGATCCATCGTTCCTTCGTGCACAAATGCTTCTGGTACTGGGTGCAGAACGAACAAAAATGTGAAAGGACGCGCAAGTAAAAAGCAATAGGCCATCTAGAACTACTGTAATCGGGAGTGCCAGGAATATGCTATAGCGGCGTTGCTGCGGTCCTTCAAAGTTGGTGTTGGCAATTGCCACCGCTAGGTCCCAAAGGGTTAATAAGACCCCCTGAACTATATACCTAAGATAGCATTACTTGAAGGCCTCAAACATAACGGGCAACATACCCATAATTAGCGTGTTAAACCCCCGTGGACATTTGAGCGAATTTTGAAGATTCAAGATACTAAGCAACCTAAGTGAAATGGTCATATTCCAACATGGTTAACATTGTTTCAAAGGTGAATTAGCTATCCGTTTTTGCACTCAAGACAAAGCACTACTCCTTCTTTGTCCATCTCAAAAATCCCGCTTCAGAAGACCTCCAAACTGGGGAATTAGAAGCCAACAGAAATCTCATTTTTCCCATTTTTCGCTTTCAATGGCTGTGCTTCCACCAACTATTACTCAGAGCAAAGAAAACGAATCAGGCTCAATTCATTCCTGTGAAAACTAGGAGATCTAGGCTATCGATCCATATAAACATGGTTTGCTAAAAATGTTTTTATGACATAGTTAATGGGGTGCGGCACACCCCCTTAAAAGCTGCGGCCGCCGCAGCTTTTAAGGGGGTGTGCCGCACCCCATTAATTATAATAAAAAAAATTTTAGCGGACAGTATTTAGATGAATCGATAGTCTAAACCTTGTAGATTCCATAGGATTGTTTGGAGCCTAGTTTGTCTTCTTAGCTCTAAGTAATATTTGGTGAAAGCACAGCCATTAAAAGCGAAAAATGGAAAAAATGAGATCTTGGTTGGCTTCTAATTCCACAGTTTGGAGGTCTTTTGAAGCGGGATTTCTGAGGTGGACAAAAAAGGAGTAGTGCTTTGTCTAGAGTGCAAAAACGGATAGCTAATTCGCCTTTGAAACAAAGTTAACCATGTTGGAATTTGACCATTTCACTTAAGTAGCCTAGTATCTTGAATCTTCAAAATTCGCTCACACTTTGTCTACAGGGGTTATTTGACATGCTAATTATGGATAGGATACGAATATCATGGCATCACTATTATGAGATTACCCAACTTGACCCTGATTCCCTAATAGTCTATTAGGAAAAGGACCAATGATCCAGTCATAGATAGATCTGCTTTGAGCGGGAAATTATCGAAGATCGCTTCGGTTGACTATGAAGCTGAAAAGCGCGCTCGTAGTATAGTTCTGAGCGGTATTCGTGAGGCGGACAGTAGTCTGCACTTTCACATGAACGGTGCTCTCAACTTGATAGCGCTGTTGGTGAGGTGCTTGACGTGTTAAAAGTGGACTGTCGTCCAGTGGAGCTGTTCCGCATGGGGAAGCCAAATCCCTCCGACCCCGCTTGGTGAAAGTGGTATTTCCCTCTAGGTATTATTGGCAGGTAACACTTTCCATTACCCTGTTATTGAGGAGTCATTGCTTCCCCCATGTTTTCGTGAGGAAAAGCATGACAGCAGAGGAAAGAAGCCGCGACTATCAGCTAAGGAAGCTCGCTCGGGAGCGGAATAAAGGGAAGCATGTGAAAGAGTGGGTTATTTACCGTGACGAGTTGGTTCACTTTCTAGTAGAAATTCGGGAAACGTATGAATGCGCACGGTAATACTAACTCAGTAAAGATTTATTTACTCAATGCCCGAAGTCTTGTTAATAAATTAGAGATCTTTCAACTTTTTGTTTCTGAATACAAGCCAGACCTAATTTTTGTGACTGAAACGTGGTTTGATGCCCGAATTCTCGACTCTAAAGTAGTTGGTGGACTACCATATGTAGTTTACAGAAGCGATAGATGTAGACACAGAGGCGGCTGTGCGTGTTGTCTTGTAAAAGGAAACTTACAAGGGAACCGTGTCGGGTCGAAGTGGCCTTTCCAGATGAGACCCATACTGCTTTGAAGAGCATTGGTCGTTGATTCCAAATCCGCTTTCCAAATCTGCCAAGCGCCTCTGGACCCCGAGTTATGACCGTTCTTCGGAACGAAAAATGAATGCAGAATTTAGGTAAAATCGATTATTATAATCTTTCCAGTGCTCAGATAAAGCAATGGCAAGTATTAGCATATTGAATTAAAATCTATTTATTGCATAAACAGCTCTGAGATTTGACACTGGACCATTTGAGCAAATTTGTGCGATTTTGCTTCAGTTTTGCGTTCAATTTTTTGACCTGAAAAACGAGCATAACTTGGCGTCCAGAGGCGCTTGGCAGATTTGGAAAGCAGATTTGGAATCATCGATTAATGCTCTTCAAAGCAGTATGGGTCTCATCTAGAAAGGCCACTTCGACTCGACACGGTTCCCTTGTTAGTTGCTAATCGTATTGAGTGCAACTATACGATGTTATCAGATGTGCTTATAGTGGACGTTATTCATCCTTCCAAACCTAATCGATTGCGTTTTTGGCCATTTACCGCCCACCGAGCTCTAGCAAAACAGATGATGAGTGCCTTCTAGATATGATTAGTCATTTTGCTTTGGGTTGTGATCACAGTGAATCTATTCTACTTGGAGACTTCAACTTACAAGTGGACTGGATGGATCTTAAACCTTTGAACAGTGCGTCTACGTCACTTCTAACCTATTTTGTTGAAAATCGATTCAAACAATTTGTATCTTCGCCCACTCATGGCAATCACATCCTTGATCTTGTCTTGCCTCTGCTGTTGAGCTTTTCCATGTGAATGGTCATCCCCCGCTTGGGTCTTCGGATCATGGGGTAGTTAGTTTTAAGGTGCGCGATGTTCCACCAGCGGCATCACTTCCTTTTCCAATGCCCGATTTCCATAATGTCGATTACAAAGCATTGAACGAATACCTTTCTGGAGTTGATTGGCTTTCTCATTTCAATAAATATGAACCTTGCTCTGATGTATATAGGAGGTTTTGCAAAATATTTTATGAAACTTTTGCTATATTTGTTCCTTTCAAAGCTCCTTGTCTTGCCATAGCCAAAGTACCTGCACATATACAATTCCTGAATTTGTAGAAATGTCGTTTTTTTGATAACTTTCCTGGTCCATTGCACAAGGTTCTTTACAGAAAGATTTGTTCCGACATTGAGTTTCATATGCGAAAGTTTTTGTCTAATCGTGAGCGTCGGCTTGCACAGAAATCAGCACGAAGCCTGTTTCTTTACATCAGAATCTCCCAACTCTCGAAAATGACCTTGGTGCTCGATTTTTCCATGATGAAAAGAAGGCGAAAGTTCTTGAAGCCTATTTTGCTAGCGTCTTTACTTCTGCGGACAGTAGTGCACTTGATGTTGGCAATAACTATGATGTGCAAGGGGAATTATCCTCAATCTTCTTTAAGTTGCATGAAGTGTGCCGAATTTTGAAGCATCTCAAAAACTCCGCTACTGAAACATATGACGGCATACCTCAGATCGTATACAAGAACTGTTCCTGATCTCTGTCCACACCATTAGCACATATATTTAACATATCCATGTTATTAGGACGCACTTTGGAAGCACGCCCTTGTAACACCTACCCCTAAGGTCCAGGACGCTAGGCGGATGAGGGGTTATCGCCTTATTAGTCTGCTACCTACACCTGCAAAAGTCATGGAAAAGTGTATAAGAGATAAGCTTGTGTCCTGACTTGATAAAGCTGGCATGGTCCCTGCTGAGCAGCATGGTTTCATCAATGGTGCCTCGACGACAACAAATTTGGTTGACAGTATTTATGACTGGACTCTTGCCTTAAATAGTAAAAAATGTGCGGATGTGCTTTATATTGATTTATCTAAAGCATTTGATAGGGTCTGTCATGATATGCTAGTGAAGAAACTCAAAATGATAGGCACTGATGACCCGCTGCTCGCATGGTTTGATTCGTATCTGCACAACCGCTACACAGGGCTCCTAAATTGCAGAGTCGTTTGCACCAGCGGCCGCGCGACCGCGTCGCGCACGGGCATTTCGCCAAGCCTCGATCGATGGCGCCGGCGCCGGCATTGCATTTTCTCGGCCATTTCGTCTCTTTTCTTTGTTTTTTCGCTCACTGAGCCTTCAGCGAGCCTCATCATAATTTTTCGAAGTAGTCCCATGCCGGCAATCGGCCTCACAGTTCTTTTGCACCCCTAAATATTACCTATCATGGAAAACAATAAAGTTGAGCAAGTGAGTACCATATATTCTACGACTAGACGACGCTAGACCGCACTGCGGACATTGTCTTAACAAATTTGAGTCTGTTCTTCCTTGTTTTTAAAGAGTGAATAAATGTGGACGAAAAAATAACAAGTATAGACCTGCTAAGTACATGGCTAGGCTTGTTTAGACAATGCCTGCAATGCGCTCGCGCGTCTCCTAGTCCTAGAATGAATAATAAGTGAGTAATGACACACCTGTGCCTTTCCGAATTGACTAAGCCTCAAAAACTCCTTTTGCCATGCTGAGGATCCTGAAAAACATAACACAGGGGTACAAGGGTCTGTGAGGCCGAGCTGGCTTGGGACTACTTCGAAAATTATGATGAGGCTCGCTGAGGGCTCAGTGAGCAAAAAAACAAAGAAAAGAGACGAAACGGCCGAGAAAATACAATGCCGGCGCCGGCGCCATCGATCGAGGCTTGGCAAAATGCCCGGGCGCGACGCGGTCGCGCGGCCGCTGGTGCAAACGACTCTGCAATTTAGGAGCCCTGTATGACCAGGGCTCGGCACGAGGTGGCTAGTTGAAAATGCAAAAAACGAAGTACCCCTTGACTTTTGCGAATTTTTACGAAGTCCCCTTTGACCCTAGACCACGGGTGGGCACGAGCTGGCGTCCCGAAATTGCAAAAAATGAAGTTTCATTGTCTTCAATGAAATTACGACATCCGCCACGAGATATTCGAAGAGTAAATACATGAAAAGGAACGGAACAAAGCTACAACAGAAAGAAAAAACGAAAAAGAATCATCGAACACACGCGATGATATTCATATTCTCTGGATTGGCGGCGTGATGTATCCATCGTGCAGCATCACGCGCCTAGAGCAGCCTTTCCGCCGCCATTCAAAATTTTTAAGGGGCTATAACTAAGCGAGGAGAGGGGGGTTTGAGGCGGTTTAGGAACCAGTTTGTAGGGTTTGGGAGGTAGATGAAAAGTATGTAAAGAAAGTAGAAAAATTATGTGCGTGAAGAAAAATTTATGACTTTTTCTTTCCTAAGCCACCTCAGGTGGCTATCCAGGTGGCTTGAAAGCCACCTAACTCCGAAAAAAGTTGAGCACGCATTTAGTTCACATAATTTTTTCATAATTTTTCATACTTAGTCCTAACTCCCCATTGCCCATCTACACACCTATTTTGGTGTCATTTCATCTTCAATTCGCTGTAAACAAACCTTTTGTTTATTTGCCGGCGGCATGCCGGCAGCGTGCCGGCCGCAAATCGAAAGACAACGTTATGTTCTTCCGCAAAAACGATATCCCCTTTGCTTTTTCCCTAAAAACGATATCCAGCTTGCTTGCTAAGCCACCTGTGCCGTGCCCTGTGTATGACTGTAAGAGTTCATGACCGATTTTCGGATACCTATTCTTGTGCAAGTGGTGTTCCTCAAGGGGGAGTTTTATCGCCTATATTATTCCTCATTTATACCATGACATTGCCTAACTTACTCCATACTTCTTAAAAGGTTAAAGTGCAAATGTATGCAGATGATATAAAGATATACGGAATGTACGATGCAAAAGATCGAATTGAGGTTCAGGCAGCTTTACAATTGTCTCTTTCCAATCTGGTTGATTGGGCAACGACTTGGAATTTAACACCAAATCTTGACAAGAGCTGCTTACTTAATAGGGAATGGTTGTGCAGGTACCTATGTGGTTGAGGATCTTGCGTTGAGGTCATGCGGCTCAGCTAGGGACTTGGGAGTTCTTGTTGACGCTAAACTTAAGTTTTCTATCGATGCTGCTGTCAGAAAGGCTTACACCTCCTTATTTGTGCTGCTGCGCACCGTAAAGAGTAACTCGCCTGCTCTAGTGACACATCTTTACAAAGCCCTCATTCGCCCCCATCTGAATACTGCTCCCAAGTTTGGAATCCTGCCCGCAAAAAAGATATTTGCAAAATAGAAAAACTGCAAAAAACCTTCATGCGTCTCTTGTACAGGCGACTCTATTCTGATAACAGTATACCAAATTATAATGTACGGCTCAGAATGTTCAAATTACATAGTCTTTCTTTTCGTCGCAATCTCTCAGATTTAGCGCTTTGTTTTCATGTGTTAAAAGTTGAAAATCGGCCGAAGGCAAGTAAATATTAGATATTCATGCCAGCTAGTGAAAGGTCGGGAGGATTTGATTTGCACTATGTCAGTGTCAAAATGCACAATTTTGCAAAAATGCACAGTAACATTTTCTGCAGGTCTGCTAGATGGTTTCAGCGGTTGCCTATGGATGTTATGTGTTCTCAGACTGCACGCTCCTTCAGGGCTAAGTTGATGAGAGCTGACACACAGCTTGCATCCCTAAGCTTTCTGGAGTGATTTTAATTTTGTCGTTTTTCAGTTACCAATTCTTTCTCTTCTTGGCTTTATGGCTGTTGGTGTTACTAGCATGTCGGTTTTCGGTCCGCATGGTCATTTTTCGGAGCCGAGTCCTGGGCCCGTAGTAATCTACCCTACCTGCCGGCAGGTCTTGCCCTCAACTCGCCGCGATCTCGCCCTCAGGTCATGAAAACTGCCGACGCCCTCTCTAGGTTTCCCAAAGCAATAAGTCTGGCACTCTCCAGGTCTGACGGTCCAGCTTAGAGGTGGGCACCAGATGGAGATCGAAAAAAAATCCGAAAAATCCCGACAACTTCGAATTTTGGACCCAAGAAATTGACCTGCCGGCAACTTCGTGAGGTATTTTGTCGAGATTTCTGCCGCGATCTCGCCCTCAACCTGCCGGCATCTCGCCCTCATGTCAGCAAAGAAAGGAAAATAGCGTGTATATTGAGGAGTGCAACCTGCCGGCGTCTCGTCGTGGTCGGACCATGTCCTCAGACACTCGCTGTTGACTCGCGCAGCCCAAAGTTTTGTGTAAGCGCTGAATGAAGGCGCGACACAAGTAATCGGCCTCGCGAGGAAATCCCGAGACAGCATCATGTGCCGGAATAATGCTGCCCGAGACAACACTTTGACGCGACCCGCATCTTGCAGGAAATACGCGGCAGCTCGACGGCGACACATCCTGTTGTCCGGACGCAAATGGAGCGCGTTATCTCGCAGTAGTAATTTCGCTTTATCCCTACTTGCTGTACATTACATATATGTATATATTATATGTGTATGTATAAATATACATTATATATATGTATATATATGTACACGCATATATATGAATTCTATAAAGTCTTAACCAATTTATTACTTCTAAAATGGCATAAGGATACTTCAGGGAAGTCAAACTACTATGCTTACTATCTTAAAGCTTCACGATATAGAGATACATGATGAGATAGAAGTGTACTTAGTAACCGTCTAAACAATGAGAATCTCGGATTGCAAATAAGTGATACGCAAAAGCGGAAGTAGAGTCAAGGCAAATGATATGATAGTGATATGTAAGTACAGCAAATTAGAAAGAATTAATAGCAGATGGGCTAAAACTTGTCGGGGATGGTCTTTTCTATTTCCTTGACGCAGGTGCAAGGTGTATACTTTAAGAAAGGAGAATGAGCACTATGTTCAAAAGAAATTCATCAGACACTTCATAAAATTGAGAAACGGAAATTTGAAAAGCGCTTAACGTAGTCTGACAGCTCCTTCTTGTCAACAATACGGAGCACCTCTGCAATGCAGAACAAAAGCTATTAAGATTTGTGTGGTAATCCACTCACTTCCTTTTTTCTCCTCGTCTCCTTTTGCTGCAGCACTGTCAGCCCATTTCCTTCTCCGCAGGGCAAGGAAGCAACCTATAGAAAAGATAGCTTACATCACAGCAAGACTGGTTTGGCGTGAATGTGGCGTGCCACACCCCACAGCATCGACAACATCGACGACACCGACAACCTATGGCCGTTCCCACAGGTAGCATGTTGCAACAGCAACAACATGTTAACAACAATGCGTCGGTTGGCAGTTTTGCGTATGTGACATAGGTGGCATAGGTGAGCTGTCGTGGAATGGACGATTTACTATACACCCCCTCAATTTCTTTTTAAAACAAGCAACACGGTCCTATGTCGTGCATCGAAAATGGTAAGTTCAAATGAGAGTGACTCAAAAAAAAAAACCAAAACAAATCAAAATTTACATAAAGAATGGCAATGAAAACATACTATTTACCTCAATGATGCAAACGTCTGGCCTTTCCAATGTGCCATCAACGGGAATCCTGGCCACTTGCTCAACCCACTGGATTACTGCATCCGTAAAATGTGGAATTAAGTGCACCGTCTCTCCGCAGTAGTCGCCAAGTCGCTCACGATCAGTAACCTGTAATTTGAGTTTTTCTTCATAATAGCCTGATATGTTTCAGCATGTAAGTTAAGAACCAGTGAAGAAAATAGGCACCAAAATAAAGCCAAAACTTACATGCTGCAATTTGGTGGGTACCAAGTGATTTGGGGTAGACGAGGTTGTGGAATATAGATTTATTCGCACGGGCGTAGATTAGTCGTGAAGACGAGATGAGGTGTCCCGGTGTGGACCGGGGAGCAACCTCTAATACATTCGGAGGCTCCTTATATAGGAAGGAAGGCGGAGCTGAACCGAGTAAAAGGTACAATGTACACGAGTTGGTGCTTGAAAGGAGGTGCCGCCGATTGGCTACACTCCTGGCGCACGGGTACCACTCACTCTTGAGTGATTAGATACTCAAGAGTGAGTAGCTCACAATTTAGCCTACGGGTATTCCGTAGGCTATCTAGAATATAGAGTTCATCAATGGTTGATGATACAGAAATCATCAACATGCTGAAACATATTAGGCTATTATGGACAAAAACTCAAATTCCACAATCCCACTATCACGGAGATAGTCGAGCTTTGATTTTTAGAGAAGAAGCTTCAAAATTGGATTTCAAATAAAGTTAATGTTGGATTGGAATGAAATTAATGGGAATAAGAGGGCTTAGGTGGGATGGATGGAATGCACGAATTTGGAAATAGGTAGCAAAAAACCTGGAATGATGCAACATGAGCTGAGATTTGAAATGCGCGTCGATATTGCGAAACTGCTCGCTGAGTCACTCATCATCTCCCGATTTCCTTTCGCGAACAACCGCAAAAGCTGTCAAAATATTGTCTCGCGCATGTCTACGCCCTTTCCCGCGAATCCCTCAAAAAGGGGCGGATCTCCGGCGCGAGTCAACAGCGAGTGTCTGAGTCGAGATGCCGGCAGGTTCATGACATACACTCGCTATCTGGCGGATTTTTGATCAATTTCTTTATTTTCTATGTTTCTCTTTTGCTACTGAGGTATACTTGTCACCCAAAACAGTCACAAATGTTTAAAAATCGCTGGCATGATGGGTTTTTCTAAGTTTTTTGTAAGATACAACAAGTTTTGAGTTTATCTGAGCTTTTCCTGATCTTAAAATTCACTGTCGGTGTATGTCTATTTTGTTTGTTACGCCTTAATTGAACAGCCACACAATTGTCGATTCCTCATTGCCTGAATAAGGGTGGGGGAACGAAAGCCGCCAGGTCCAGCCGCCTCCGCGGACTGCTGGTCCTGGAACGACATGCAACAACGCTGCGAAAGGACCAGCTGGCCGCGAAAGGCGGCTGGACCTGGCGGCTTTCGTTCCCCCACCCCCTGAATAAGCTTCCACTGTTTTTTTCTTTCAGCTTTGTTTCTACACCTCCCTTATGCCGACGGTGCATACCTGCCAAGGAGGTTTCAACCAGCCGAAAGTTCAAATGGTTATGGTTCCCTGTTGGAGCATTCGCACCGTTTTTTGCGTCGTTGAAATCTCCATGTATCTGACACATCTCTATGGAGGTTTGTTTAATTATCTTTTTTGGTTCTTCTATGATTCTTTTTACTTTTATCTTTCTGCTTTTGTCAGATTCAGCGTTTCGTTGCTGTTGTTCTTCACTTGCCTAAACCCTAACTAAATGCTATTTTATCGAACAATTATAAGGTTTTTAGGCCCTGGCCAGACTTCGCTCAAAGGCGCTCAAAAGCTCTCAAAAGCGCCCAAAAGCGGCCAAAAGCACCCAAAAGAGCTCAGAAGCGCCCAAATTTCTCTGGTGTCTCTTAATTTCTCGTGTGAGGAGAGGTTAGAGAAGTTTGGGCGCTCTTGGGCGCTTTTGACCGCTTTTGGGCGAAGTCTGGCCAGAGCCTTATGTAGGAAAAGCGCTAATAACGGTAATGCGCTATTGGTCCCTGCACTCTTGCCCCGCCCCTCGCCAACTATATAAGCAACTAAACCCCGCCCTCAGGAGAGAGAGAGACACCGAGCTAGCCGGCTCCGGCCGGCTCAGCTGGCCTTGGCAATAGGAGATAATCGACCACTCATTTACACACCTATCTTATATGTGCTCGCTTCATCTATTACCCTCTTTCCTCCCCATAAATTCTCTGTACCCTCTAGTTTCTATTGATATAGCATGGTTCCTATTGATATCCTAATCTCTTCTTTGTATTCAGTTCTGCACCCTTTGTGCTTTACATTACCCTAGTCTTATAATACTCCTCTTATAGTACTCCTGTCTTGTAGTACTCCTGTCCTATAATGCTCTTCTTGTTAATAAACCTTAGTAAAAGAAAGTTGTTTCTATGAGTTGGGGAGAATGCCCATATAAGTAAGCCTGACAGTGTCGTTACTGATTCAAAGCATCTCATAAGTAATTTCTAACAGGGGTAAAACATTATTATATTACACTTACTCCGCATCGTAAGCAAAAGTGGCTTCTACGTATCTTTCATTGTTAATGCTCATAGAGAGGCTTTAAGTCTTTGTGACACAGTCGACGTTGTTTGATTCCTCGCGAGCCGCCTTGCTCGGTGTCTCACGTGGTACAATAACGCATCCGCAAAGGTCTTCGCGATATCGGATGCGGTACTGTACCATGTGAAAGACCCAAGCGAGGAGGCTCGCGAGTACCTGAACCGTGTCGACGGTGGCACTCAGAATAAGCCCCTGTACGCTTGCTCACGCCTCGCTCGCACGCATGGCCGGTTTCGGCTTAGATCAAATTTTATACCTCCTAGGTTGTTAAACTGTTATCATTTGTAGGTGACTCTATTTGACATCACTATTATGCTCCTGTTGTTTCAAGATGATGGTTTTCCAACGCAGGCAATTCTTCATTTTTGCAAAAGCAATCTGCTTTTTTGAACTTTTCAGAGTAATCCTACGTCTGAAAAGGCACTTTTGGAAGTTTTCGTTTTTTTTACTAGCCCATGAGCACAGGAAAAGCATTCTTACATGGAGAAAAAAATTTGCTTCTATATCATGTTTTTTAGGATGGGGGTGGTTGAGACTGTCCTTCTCAAGGCATAACTCGCAACTTCCAAAAACATTTAGGAATTGCTCCATCGTTTACTTGTAGCAAGCAGTTAAAATATCAGATCTGCTCTTTCGATGTTTTTTCTGTAATGTCAGCCATATCTTTCAGATTCATACGCTGTTGGTGCTTTCTGTGATGTCTTAGGGTGAGAATGGCACTGTTTACGTTTGGTGGAGAAGCAGTCGGATCGCTTCATACCTACGACTTCATCTTGCCAGGTAAAAATGCTTCATTTTATCACCTTAACTATAACTACTTCTGTTTCGACTCAGTTTTATTATTTTAGAGTGCAAGTTTTGAACTGGTGTCTCTCTATTTTGTCGACCCTACCTTGCTAGGGGTTTTGATTGGCAAATATGTGTCAGCAGTGACCATTTCAACCCCTATATCTGTGTTGAAGTAGATATACACTCGATTAGATTTTTTCAACATGGTGTGCTTGCGGTGCTAAAAAAATGCGGTGGAATTTGCGCGTGTACAATCAGCTACGCCTGTAATGCCTGCCATCTGCGCGCGCAAAATGGCGGCACTACTGGCATGCCTATATGTTCGCGCACAAAGGTCGCTACATTTTGTCTGCATCGCAAGCACATCAAATTAAGCGAGAAAATCTACTGAACTGTATGTTGTCGTTTTGGGTTGGAATAGGTCTGAATTTTTCGCCTTTAGTCAAACTGTTCCACCAACCAAGGCTAAGTAGCACATGGTAAATTGAACGGAGAAGGTTATATCTCTTATTATGTTCTCTATTCTTCTTGCTTATCAAGAGCTATTCTCTTTTCTTCTTGTTCGGTATGGCGACAGTGGGCTCTCACGAGAACGAATGGGCAAGTAAAGTGCATTTTTGCATCTCATGCTGAGGTCATGCAATTTTTTTGTTAGAGGCATCATACAGCTCTCCAAAGCGAGCTGCATCCTTTCGTGTGGCTTTTCGTTCTACTGTTACCAACATTCCAGGTCATTTAGCGCGCAACTGCTCCGGTTTTTTGGACACTCTCAAGCATAACAGAAATTCCGAGCAAAGTCTTATGATTCGACTACCCCAGGCAATGTTTGCTGGTCTGGAAGACGTTGCATTTCAATTATCTGTCTCTCATATTTGAATTTCAGTCAGTTTTGCATATTTGTACGCGTTTTTCTGATAGATTCTCCTAGAGTAACCCTTTTTTGTATTCCCTTTGTATCGCTTATAAGCGTCGTTGCTTTGGAGTTTTAGTATGTTCTGTTTTTCGCAATAGATTCTCTCGAGTTGCATACCGAGTCCGTAGTTACACTAGCTTAAGAGTATGCGCCGGGCGCTTTACTGGGCGCTATTCCAGTATACCGACCCCAAAAATTAAAAATCTCGGATTTTGCTCAAACTCGGTATAGGGGGATTATTCGATCCGCTGATGCCAAATATCATATCGATTCCGTATGATAGCGCCATTTTCCGGGGGTTACGGTGGGTATACGGTAGGGGGTCAAAATCACAAAATTCTCTGAACTCGGGAATAGGGGGTTTCCGACATGCTGAACACGAATACGATATTCATTCGTTACGGTAGCTCCTCATTGGGTTATGGTGGGTATAGGGTAAGGGGTCAAAATCACGATATCTGCTGAAACTTCGTGTAGGGGGGTTATTTGACACGCTGATCACGATTATGATGTTTATTAGTTACGATAGTGCCACATTCCGACGTTACGTTGGGTATACATTACCAATACCACCGCTAGATCGAGATTCAGGGCTTGAAATCTCAGTCACACGTTGGAAATTTCCTCCCCCTGCTTTGCTTAGGCAAAAGCCGCCGCAGGGTGTATCGCGCGCGGTGGAGGGTGTGGAAAGCAGTGAATTAGACCCTCCTACAGTATAGCACCGTAACCTCGGAATGAGGTGCTACCGTAACGAAGGATATCATATTCATGTCCAGCATGTCAAATAACCCCCCCCCCCCCCTGCACCAAGTTTCAGAAATTTTTGTGATTTTGACCTCCTACCGTATACCCACCGTAAACCCGGAAAATGGCGCTATCGCACGGAATCGATACGATATTCGGCATCAGCGGATCGAATAACCCCCCCCCCCCCCCCTATACCGAGTTTGAGCGAAATCCGAGATTTTTAATTTTTGGGGTCAGTATACTGGAATAGTACCCTTTACTGAAGGAGTCACTGCATAACAATGATATGAGGGCGACAGGTTCCACCCGCACGATAGCTGGCACTAGGCTGTAATTTGAGGACATACGCGGTTTGTTCCAGTCGTTCGGGTAGTTTTATCCTATTCTGCGACTTAACTCAGGCACGCACTACTCTCCTACTTGGTCCGGTTAATCCGCTGATCTGGCTTCCTATGGTATACACACCCGCATTTGAACTGGCACTTCTAATATATCAGAAGATGCGCCTCATGGAGCTGAATTTGATAGGCTTTTGAATAGATATTTCGTCTTCCTTAAAGGGAGATATGACCACGCCACGGTGATGTCACTTAACTTAGGTGATCGTCGCGTGTTTTTGGCAGAAATATTGACGGTTTGTGCAGTAGCGAGGTCTGGTTCGCGACGAATAACTTCATTTGTGAGTGCACAATCTGCGCGACCGCTTGGCTAGTGTCTTACTTAGGCTCCCAAAGCTTCTTTCATGTGATCCTATGTGTCCGGATATTAAACGATTCCTCTGTAGGCGAGAGGCAAAGAACGATAGCAATTGGCAGTTTTTAGCGCTTGAAAGTTTTTTGCTAATCAGCTTAATACTGGAATAGCCACTGGTGATGCATCGCACTCGTTAACGAGATTAGTTTGAATACAAACATATTTTTAGACTTCTGCTAGTTCCAGGTTGACTCCAGCGGCTCTCCGAAACCTCTTTGGTTGGGCGGGGAGGAGGGAGGGGAAATGTAACGGAGACTTTTTGGATGAAGGGTGATCAACCACGCTCTCCAAGAAATTAGTTGAAATGCTCTAATCTTACAAGAAATTTGTAGAGTTAATCTGAGCGCAATAATTCACTTCGTCTGTATGGTGTAAATCCTTGGTTCTGCCATGTGCTGACACTATGCAGCACTTTTCAAAAGAAGCTGCACACATGTGCAGCTTCTTTTGAAAAGAGTAGGGTCATAACCGTTAATAAAGCTTCGCTCCAGCATATTCGTCGTTTCCATCCTTTTTCTGATCTCGAATTTGTTTGTAGCATACCATCAGCTTGACGCAGTGCCGTTTCGGGCCAAGTAGCATAGTACTCTGCGTTGATACCACTGCTT